ATTAAAGTATAAATACTGGAGTCATACATAATAAGAGTTTGTAGCTATAAAGTTGTGCAGCTTGATTTGAGCAGCAAAAGCCAAACAATGCAATCAGACCTGAAGCTTGTGTGGAGAGATAAAAGGAGAGCATATTTTTTTCTTCTTCTTTCATTTGGCCTCAAAATTTCACAGTGAATAAAACTCCAGTATCTGAATTAAAGGGTCTATATTAGACTGTTTTCTGATCTGTTATAATGTTGTTTCCTCATCAAAAACATGCCTGGAGTTGTTTTGTTTCATTTGCACATGTTTAACACACAAACCCATATTTAGGCTGTGTTCTTCTCTCAAACTCACCTTGTGATGTCGTGTGGTAATACAGGAAGTGCTCCACTGTGTTTTTAAACCTTCACATTCACTAGTCATTCACTGCAAGGCAATACAGAGCATTTTGGCCTTTGGAGATGTACAGGGGTGTAGTGGGCGTGGTACGCGGGGTACGCTATCCACCCACTTCTCCTGACGTGAGATTTAAAAAAAAAAAACTAATATAAAATTGCCTACAACTTAAATGTCAAACCAGAGCTATTAGCAACGCTGAAAACAACCTGCATAGGCTCAAGATATCTGCAGTACTGTCCTATAGTGATCTGTGACATGAGGGACCAGGAATGAACCAGGACTCAACCAGGACTAAACCAGCACTGAACCAGCACTGAACCCGGACTGAATGTTGGGTCGCGCCTGGAGTTGCACCCACGTAGAACGTTGGGTAACCGCAGGAGAAAGGATTGGCGCAGAGCTCCGCTCCCCATGAGGCTAAACACAGTTGTCATCTGATCGCACTTTGTGGACACCCAGCTCCACAGGCTCCCTCGCTCTCAAATCCAAGATCAGTCCTGGTTTAGTCCTGGTTCAGTCCTGGTTTAGTCCTGGTTCATCCAACCATGCATCCATTTTCTTCTGCTTATCACACCAGACATGTCCTCCAACTCCTCCGGGGGGACCCTGAGTCGTTCCCAGGCCAGCCGAGAGACATAGTCCCTCCAGTTTGTCCTGGGTCTTCCCCGGGGCCTCCTTCTGGTGGGACATGCCCGGAAACACGTCTCGAGGGAGGTGCCCAGGCCTCCTGGTTCAGTCCTGGTGTAATCCTCCTGGTTCAGTCCTGGGCACATGTGTTGAGGTCTATGATTTATGTTCTGTAGGTGATTGTGATTTTACTGCTTTTGAGTAAAAAAAACATCAAATATTAATGATTTTTACTGGGCTGGCATCTTTATGTTTGTACTGAAAGTGAGTTAGGTAGGTGGGCGGGATTCATCACATCGATGACGTCACGAATTGTGTACCCCCACTTACGAAATCCCCACTGCACCACTGGAGATGTAGACAGACTAATAATATAAACATGAATGAAACAAACCACACTATGGGTATGTTTTTGATGAGGTAACAATATTATAACATGGATAAATTGTCACTAGAGTCAATTTTGTGTAATATAGGGCCTTTAAACAGGTATTTGTTCTTCCTTCTTTGCAGTATAAATGTGTTTTTCCTTGCACAGAGGGTCACTGGTCTCTGGTCAGTGCAGTCCTGATCAGAGCTATTTCAACCACAGCAGTATCATTTACAGCCACTTGACTTCAGGCCTATTCTCTCACTGTAATGATTGGATTTGCGGCTCTCCTCGAGATCTCCATTTCCCCCCTCCACGCGGACCACTCCAGTAAGCTCACAATCCCATCTGGCCGTCACCATGGAGACCCCGTCCAGAACACCAGCATCATCTGGAGACGAACCAGCACAGACCAGGACTTCTCAGTATGTGCTACAGGTACAATGGGGGATTCGTTATATACTTTTATATAGTTGTAAGTAAGTAAGATTCATTTGATTTAGAAAGGTTAAGTAAGTTATGTATTTTAATCTTGGGCAGTGGTAGTACTCAATTTTGTTACTTACCATATTTTTCAGACTATAAGCCACACTTTTTTCATGATTTGGGTGGTCCTGCATCGTATTCTATTTTGTGACTTAAATCTTAAAATTTTCACACTAACAGCACTGAAAATTTTAAATTTAAGTGACTTCAGTGACGACCGAAACCATCCTGTCAAGATGGCCAAAATAGGCCAAAATAATTCAAACGGAACTGATGCTGAGTCTGATGACAGTGGCGCTCCTTTTACCTCCAAAGGTCGTGGAGTTGCTCAGGAGCGACTCTAAGGATGAAAAACTCAATGGATTTAGTGATTTGGAGTGAGATGGAGAGTTTGGTAAACTTATTGTGTTGTTTTCGCTATAGTTATCTGAATAACTGTTCATATGTAACTTTAACAGTCTGTTGTTCTCTGTTTTATTGTTAGTACTGTAACTTGCCTTTCAAGATGAAATGTCCGTTCCTGGTCTCTGATTTTATGAAATACATTTCCCTCAAAAAGTGCGACTTATAGTCCGGTGCAACTTACATATGTTAAAGTATCGCCTGAAAAAATCTACTTAAATAAAAGTATTAAAGTACCTGTTAAAAAATGTACTAAGAGTAAAAAGTCAAAGTATTTCACACATATCTTCTAAAGCTACAAATGTACTGATTTTGATAAAGACTTTTGTGACAATCAAGTCAGTCAACTGTTTGGATTTGTTTATTTTAGTTTGTTCATCTTAACATTTTTTTGGTAATACAGCAAGTTCTTGGGTCACTAGTTTGCGTGTACCTTTTGGATATTTCATGGCAAAGTACAGCGTAATCGATGGGAAAATCAGGCTCTTGCCCCCGATCTGTAACAATGACTGGAAAACCACCAATTCCAGATGCTATAAACTGACCTAATTTTGGGGTTTATCGGTACATTCAAAGATTGATCATATTGATTAGCACCATATATCAGCATACACTGGTTTACATATTTTCAGATTGTGGTTTTGTCCTGACCAATTAGTCTTTGTTTGGTTAAATTTTGTTTCTCAAATGGTGTTACTGTACTTTTAGACCTGGTTTAGCCCTAGATAAGACCCGGAATAATCCTGTTATATCCTTAATTTAGTCTTTGTTTCTAGCGATACTCCAGTGTTGTCATTAAAGAGGCTTAGCTGGGGCTTACATGTATTATTCCTCATGAAGTCGAGGTTAGTCTGAAGCAGATCTGATCCATAGACTGTATATATAAATGGACATAGCTAACCCGCTAGCCGCTGTGTTCCAAATAGGAAGTGAGTATGGGTGTGTTTCCAGCTCCATCGACTCCAATAGGCTTTACGCTGAAAAAAAATGCACTACATGATCCTTGTGTTTTTAATTTGCTATTTTCTCCATATTACTTTGTATTTTGTCCTTTATGCAGTCTATGATCTGATCCTATTTGGAGAGAGACTGCATCTGAAAGGCTAAGTCAAAAGCAAACATCCGTGGCAGACCAGATGTGATCCTGGTTTAGACCTGGTTAAACTTGGTGTAGCCCTGGTCTAGTCTAGATGTCATTTTAGTGCAGATCAAATTTTGGTCAAATTTTGGTTTTAGGCCTCCCTTATACTATACTTTTTCATTCAGCAATGAAATATCAAGCCTTTTTTAACCAGTACAATGATATATTGTAGATCAAATTCATGCTCATAGTCGCCTCTTTGGTGATTGTACATAGTAGATGGTTAGAATACTTCCAAACATTTCCTTAAAAGTCCTATATTACGCAAAATTGACTCTTGTGAGCTTTAAGCCATGCTGTTCCCTCATCAAAAACATACCTGGAGTTGTGTTTTGTTTCATTCACACATGTTTGAATAACCCTTTATTATTAGTCTGTCTACATCTCAAAAGCTCAAAATGTTCCACTTTGTTATATCATGCAGTGGTTTTCAAGTTAACAGCCACCTTTTAGCTTTAGGGCCTGTTTACATGCAAACCCTTGCGGGTAAAAACAACAAAATATGTTATCGGAAGTGCCTTTCGTTTAGACGGTGACAGCGTTTTGGGGCTTAAAAACACAAAAATGTGATACCACCCTCTAGAGTGGAAAAGTTGAATACACTCCGCTGTAACGTTTCCGTCTACACTGCCCAAGACCCAAAACTCTGGTCAGATCTGCTCACGTTGCATACGCACATACATCACCATCTAGCGTCACCATCTAGCCACCTGGCATGCATACAGACTCAAATTCTACACACTTTTGCAGCACCGTATGCACGCAGATTTCCTCCCGAAAACACTTCATCATATAAACGCAGCCTTAGTTCAGTAGAGAACGACAAATCCAGGTCTTAAATGATCCAAATGATCCTAACGAAGGTGTATGGAGTTTACAAGGTCAGTGTTTTCTGTTGGAGACAAGAACACAGCCTAAAAATGCAGGGTTTGTGCGTTAAACGTGTGAATGAAACAGAACACAACTCCAGGTATGTTTGTGATGAGGAAACAACATTAGACCATACATTACCGGTCAAAAGTTTTAAAACACCCTTTTTCCAGTTATTTATTGCAATTCATGTTGTGCAAGTCCAATGAAGTCAATGAAGACACAACTCCAAGCTCTGCCAAAACTACCTCAAGAAAAAAGAACAAGATGGTAAAGCTTGAAAACATGGAGTGTCCAGCACAGTGTCCAGACTTAAACCCCATCGAGCTGGTTTTGGGATGAACTGGTCAGAAAAGTGAAAACCAAACAACCTACAAGTGCCACACATTTATGGGAACTTCTGCAACAGACTTGGGAAGAACTTTCTGAAGAATATTTGATTTCTATTGTAGAATGAAAGAGCCACAAATGTGTTCAGCTGTTATATCTGCCAAAGGTGGACACTTTAGAATACGTTTTGGTCTATAAATTGATTCCACGGTTTATTTTTCAACTCAAATTTATTCTATGCTTTCATTTCAGAGTGCAATGACACAATAAACTGGAAAAAACTGGAAAAAGTGTGATGTTCTAAAACCTTTGACTGGCAGTGTAGATCAGAAAATGGCGTAACACGAGCCCTTTAAGCGTTACTTGGATTTTTATTGAGTATTTTGGACTTCAGACTGTAGTAATCTGGTCGACCACTCTTGTACTATCATTCATCTCCACACACTCCACCTCTTGTCTGTGGTGCCCCTCGGAGTCTGAATGGTGCCCTGGTTTGTTTTTGGAAGGGGGCAAGAACGTAAGAAGCGTGGGCAAGAAGGCGAGAGTGTGCAAGGCCGAACAGCAAGCGGTAATCATCAGGCAACGAAAAAGTGTGCTTGTCAAATTTGAACGGACAGACCCGAGCGGGATTAAAGATGCGCTATAGCAGATTAGGGTTTGTAAACTTGGGATGCCGTGTCTTTCTAGGGCAACTCTAACCCAGCGAGTTCTACTTTCACCTCGTCCTGATGCGAAACAGCACAGCAAGGGGGCGCTACAGTCCACTGAGTACCCCATAGCTGAGATTAGGCACAAAATTGACATGCAGTCCATCTCCACCCCCCATAACGTCATGAATCCGAGCACGCCGAATTGTACTGATAAAATTGTTAGCCCGAGCCATATTACGACTAAAGGTTCAACTAGCGCTAACGAAGAAAGAGCTAGTAAAAAAATCACAGCTAGTAAGGAGTGTCTAAGAGGAGAGCTAACGGCTGTAGAGTAGCGATCCAGATAAACAAAAGATGGGTTAAAGATCAGAAATCGCACTCTTGACGTTAGAGAAAGACGGCGCAGCGTGTCCAGAAGTATTGACATCTCCTCGCGCTTGTTTTCCGTAGTTTTCGCGACGAGGAAAATCCTGGAAGCAGCCACATCCGGTTCCTCGCCTTGCCCACGTTCGGCGAAAATGATATCATCGGCGAAATGCGCAAACTCCGGTTCTTTTAAGAAATAGTGGCGTAACGTGTGCGTGAAGTTCTCTCGTGGTTGACTTGTGGTTTCGTTGCGGTCTGATAGATAACTGAGATACGCTTCGAGCCAGCTGATTCTCTGGAAGCCTTTAGCGTATTCGAGCAGGTCGTGTTGTACGGAGGAGTTCCAGTAGGGGGCGCTCTCGTAGATGTAGAATCCGATGACGGGGGAGTAGGAGCTGAAGTAGCGCTGCTGAGCTCGGGTGTACAAAACAGTGGCGGTGTCCGTGGCAACCAGCGCACTGGGGTCGGAGCCCTGGGACACCTGCAAAGCACAAAAAATATTAGGAAGAAATTTAATTCAATACAAGTTCAAATTTAGCCTAACTATTTCCTTTCAAATTCTTATTAACAATAAAACTTAATTGAACCTTTGTGCACCCCTTTAAAAATACACCTGTGGTCCTTTGTGACAAAAATGTACATTGAAAAAGAATACCACAATATTTTTATGCAGTACAATTTTTTTGTTCAACTTTTTTATATCAATGTCTTCCTTTACTTCTGCTCTAATCATACATAACAAATATTATAGAATATTTTGAAATTTGAACACTTTAAATGCCAGTTTTGTTTGGGAAAGTCTCAAATTATGTGCACGAAAAAATGAAAAAAAAAAAAGATTTTTTGGTACATTTTCCAACTCATTTTGAATTTGCACACACACAAACTCACACACACTCCCAAACAAACACATTCAGTGCACTCTAGGACTCCTCTAGAACACGCTTATATCATGTTTACATCAAATATCTACGTCACTGGCCTTCAGTGTGGACTAATATGTACAAATGTATTTCTATTGATATAATCTTGCAATGGAAGATACACAGTAAAACGAAAAATATCAAAAAATGTAAAAAGACACTAAAACTAAAAAATTTAAAGGGGTTTCAACACCAAACAATGAAAAATAAATCAAAAAGTAAAAATAAACTGGCAAAGTGAACAAAGCCATTTTGAATAGAAGTCAGGTGTGAGTATTTTGGTGATAGACTATTAATGTGATCTTGGGGAAAAAAACACACACAGAAATTTAAAATACATCACAAAATACACAAACTGGCCATTTTTGGTGCTATTTGGTGCAATGCGGCCAAAGTTATATTTAAAAGAAAAGTTGTGATGTACAAAAGTGTACCTAGGGGCGCAGGAGGCGTAAAGGTGCACTTAAAGGTTAGTCCTATTAAATGTTTCACTGTATGCCACTAAAAGTTTGGCTTTTATTCAACGGGTTTTTATTTATTGCTTTAAAATACCTGGCATGCATTGTTATTCTCTCCTCTACACAGATCTTACCTATAACTTGTCAATGGAAATAACTAATGTAAATGTCATATAGTGAAACATCCGAGGCAAAACAATAACATCTCCATGAAGACAAACAGATGGCAGATCCTTTACCAGAAAAGTCACATAGTGCATCAATACAATGGCTTTTAAACCTGTGTTTTTGCATTAGTAGCCTCTGTTTGCTCCCTCTGCTGGCATGTGTATGAATGAACCAAGTTAGAAAAAAAAAAAAAAAAAAAAGCAGTGGCAGTATTTTTAGTAACCAGCTACAAAGAGCTAGCGACATCCGATCAATGCTGTTGTTTTGAATTCATTTTGAGCACAGAAAAGCTATAAAGGGAGTCCTCTTCACTTCAGGCTTGGAATAATTTATATAACAACCTCCAAAGTAAAATGTAAAATGTTTCTCCAGCTATTTGAGCTTTGACATTAGCGTTAAGAAAAAAAAAAAAGACCACCCCACCTAGTCGATCAATATGTATCAAAATATTCATAACACGGGGCCAATTCTCAAAGAAGCTGGTGGCAAATTAGCAAGTCAAGTAGCCCCAGAACCTGCGGTGAATTTCAAACAGGTGAAATGAGTCTGGTGACCACAGCGGTTTAAAGAGGTCTGCAGTGTGACGGCCACAGGCTCCGATGACCTTTTATGGCATTCAGCTGCATCTAAAACAGAGGCAAACACACGGCTCTTCATGGCAAATTAAAAACCATGATAAATCCTTGGAAATTATGAGAAAATACAATGAAAGGATTGTGTGGGCTGGTTTTCTTTTTGTCTAAATGCAACAAGAGCCAAGTCTCCACACTGATTATATTGCACTTTTCCACAAAATTGTTGACGAGTGACAGCCTGATGATTAACTGCATTTTAACAAAAGAAATAGAAAATGTTGTTTTGTATTTAAAAGTGCACCATGTAACTTTTCTGGTGGAGAGTCCAGACTTGTCTTCATGAAGATGATATTGTTTATGTCACAAACCAGAAAGATGTTTGGAAAGATGCAATTACAACTTTCCAGGCCCAATTTTCTTTATCTACATGTCATTGTTCTGTTATGTTTCAACAATTTCAACCAGACCTCAGTTTTCATCTTTTTCCCACTGACACACAACTCCAATCGCACTGGTTACATGCGATTAGAAGAGCTAAGGCGCCAAATTCAAGATGATTTACCTCTGATCACATTCATTTCAGTGGGTTTTATCACAGTCTGTTTTAATAGATCTATGTTAGGTGAGCCCATTGTCGGTAACTACACTGGAAGTTGTAATCGCATCTTTTCAAACGTCTTCCTGGTTTGTGACGTAAGCGTGAATAGAGCCTATGGTGTGGTACCTTGAAAACGTGTTCTTACCGTGAGTGGGTCCACAGACCTGACCCGTAACTTCCCCTGGTGGCATCACCTGTTTATCTCAGTGCACATACACTACCGGTCAAAAGTTTTAGAACACCACACTTTTTCCAGTTTTTTACTGTTTACTGTTGACCAAATCGCATTCTAAACTTTTGATTCATCAAAGTGTCCACCTTTGGCAGATATAACAGCTGAACACACTCGTGGCTGGTTCTTTTTACAAGAAAGATCAAATATTCTTCAGAAAGTTCTTCCCAAGTCTGTGGCAGAAGTTTCCATAAATGTGTGGCACTTGTAGGTTGTTTGGCTTTCACTCCTCTGTCCAGTTCATCCCAAACCAGCTCGATGGGGTTTAAGTCTGGAGACTGTGCTGGACACTCCATGTTTTCAAGCTTCACCATCTTCTTCTTTCTTTCCTGAGGTAGTTTTGGCAGAGCTTGGACTTGTGTTTTGTTATTGTTTATATTTTTTTAACCTCTGTCTGTTCACTTCTTACCTTTGTACCATTTCAAGGTCTTCATTGAACTTGAACAACTTGAAGTGCGATAATTAACTGGAAAAATGAGGGTGTTCTAACACTTTTGACCGGTAGTGTAGATTCAATGTGACTCTTTGGAATATTCGAGGCAAAACAATAACATCTTCATGGAGCAGGCGGAAAGGTTACATAGTGCACCTTTAAAGACTTTGCAAGAGGCTAGCTAAGGAGCTAACTAAAGAGCTAGTTATGAACCTTTGAAATGCTGCAGCAGGGGTCTCCAACCTGTAGCTTGGGAGCTACCAGTAGCTCTCTACCAGTAGCCCTTCCAAGTAGCTCACCAAGGGATTTCTGAATTATACATATTGTGCTGAATAATTAAATTTGATTGTTTAAATAGGGTGACCTTATTTCAGTTAGTGAAAATCCGGACACCCGGAAAACAGAGAATTTCTTGTACAAGTCATTGTTAAATACATATTTGCACTTCGGCATGTTGCAGACTGACCAACTGTTTGTGTTTGCTCGCTCCTTCTGAGTCACAGAGAGCTACGAGACCAACTCAATTTAATGGCCCCAATGAACGATAATGAAAACCCGGACATTTCCATCACTTAAAAAAAAAAAAACAAAAAACACCCGGACACCCAGGACAGGACATGTCCAGGGAAAAACGGACGTTTGGTCACCCTAGTTTAAATGCATAGTACTTGTATAATTTTAATACCTAACTTGTGCACTCATAAATGGGTAATGGTTTATCTTTGTTGGTTTGTTGGATTGTTGGTTTATGTACTTCATCTAAGGCTTGCAGTGGCTCTTCTATTCACTCAGTTTCTTGTCACCACTAAAAGCTCTGTGGCATTTTCGTTTTGTAAAAGTAGCTCACAGTAAGTAGTAAGTAAGTAAGTTTTTATTTATATAGCGCTTTTCACAGACATATGTCACAAGGACGCTTTATAGAGCATTCTTCAGCATTCAGGAAAGGAAAGAGGAGGAGGAAAAAGGTTGGAGACCCCTGTGCTACAGACTTTTTACACTATATGTGGCAGCAAAAGAGCTTACAGAGAAAACACTCCGAAACCTTCCAGAAGAAATACTTAGAAGGAATGGCCCATTTCATTACAAGCTGAAACAACAGAGCGGTTTAAGGACAAAGCTTTTCCTGTTGTGTTCACCTGGCGCCCCCTGCAGGCTGTTGTGATGCTGCAGGACACAGAGGAGAGACACTTTTGGCTCTTCCTCTCCTCAAACTGCTCTGACACAGATCCGCTCACCCTCCCTGACCAGTCCTCCTGTTAAACTGCACTGAGACGGAGAAGCTTAGTTTAAATGTTGCTGCAGCAAAATTTCAATTTCCGTCGGCATTAATATTTGAATAAGCCAGCAGCTATGTATTTTATATCATCCTGACTTGTACTCAACGAACTCTTTAGATAGTGCGATATAGACACTTTTCCTTACAGTGAGTTTTCGTGTCCTTTTGTGCCCCCTCTGCAAACCTCAGCACAACTGCCCTTGTTAAAATCAAGAGGAGCAAGATTTATTTCTCTAAAAACACATCACTGAGAGACGGTTTTAAAAGGCAACTGTAAAAGGATTTTCTGTACTGATTAGAAAAGCAATGATCAATAATGTGTCTCAAGAGATATACAGTTCTACGGCTAATCAGATTAAGCAGCTAATTAAATAAAGCTTTGCCCCTGTATTTGTTTTGGAGGAAAGGTTGCAGTAGTTCCTCCATTGTATTATTATTTTCTTAATCTTTTTAGTTTTATTTTAGTAAATTATGTGCATTTTTAGATGTGCAGTCAGCCACCAGCTTATCTCCATGGATATGTTATTGCTTTGCCTTGAATGTCCCACAGTATGGCATTAAACTATCTCAGTGTACACAAAACATTGGGGAAAAAAATCTAGTTAAATTTAAATGACTTAAATTAAGAACGTTTTACTTTATTTGAGTAGGTTCAACTTGAAAAGTAAATCACAAAAAAACACACCAATGGAATAAGTGTTTTTCGTAATTCAAGCAGCATTCGATTTTGTTTCTTATTTTAAGTGCAAAAAAGTTGCTGTTTTTCTTATTTTAAGTGTAGCAAGATGTGTTTTTTATATTTTCACTACAAAAAGTCTCTGGCAGATCCACTGGCAGATAATTTTACTCGTCAAGTGAAATTTACTCAAATCATGATACAACTTTCTTAATTCAAGTCATCTTAACTTGGCTAGATTTTGTTTTTTGCGGTGTAGTGGGACCCACCAGGCCCAGTTCAGGTTCATGTTCATTTTATTTGTTCCGCTCATGAAAAAGCACGATAGTAAAGTAGAAGTTACAAGTTAGATCTGTGGAGAGGTGACTGTGCTTAGAGTAAGAATGTAACTATTTCTAAGTAATAAAGGCACCTGTACTTGAATACCATATTTTTCGGAAGTAAGGCGCTCTTAAAATCCTTTAATTTTGTCAAAAATCGACAGTGCGTCTTATAATCCAGTGCGCCTTATCTATTAATTATGGTTGTGCTTACAGACTTCAAACTGATTTTATGTAGTAAAATAATCTGTAAAAATGTTTTAGTACAACTTTGGTAAACTACAAAGCCGCAAAGCTTAATGTATTGTCGGAGCATTACGGCTACTGTAGTCAGGAGCCTCGTGGAGTAAGTGAGTCGTGTCTTTTAGTCCGATGGAAGCTGACACATCAGGCCACAAGGAGCGTGTTTTTCAGAGATTATAGTTTATGCAAATTAGAAATGTGGTTTTAAGTTTTGTTTCTGTAAAACGTAAACAAATGTGCGCAAAGCTGCATTAAACACATTATTACTCAATGTATATTTGAGTCGTCCTCGTAAGAAATAAAAAATAATAATAAAAACTTAATCATCCACCCACATTCACATTCATAATACACATTTCTGATCTGCCAATGGATCATGGACGCCTGGACTAAGAGATCAGTCTCAAGCATCGTCCATTAGTTTCGCTTAATGCGCCTTATAATCTGTTGCACCTTATGTATGAAAATAGACGAGAGAATTCAACATTATTGATGTTGCGCTTTATAATCTGATGCACTTTATAGTCTGAAAAATATGGTAAATACTTGCTCTATTGTGGGAAAAAAAAAAAATAATAATAATAATAAAAACCAAGGAGACAAGCAGGTTGCAGATCTTCCACCAGAAAAGTTACACTGTAAAACTTTAAATTTGCACTTGTTTTGTCTTTATAACACATTTGAGCCTCACCTGTAGGAATCCCATTAACCCGAACGAAATGTAAACCAGGTAGAGCAGCACCACAAACGGCTTGACGTATGTATTTGTAATCCAGTCTCCATAGCAACGCCGCATGCACCCCAGTAACAGGTGGGAGTCCTGGGGGTGGCCGTCCAGACTCGGGGCGAGGATGGGGTTGGGCGGTACGTGCGTCGGATTGGCCGATTGGTGCGAATGCACACTGTGCACTGTGGAGTTATTCATGGTCAGCGGGTGGGAGTTAATGTGATTTAAATTTGAATTGTTGCTCATAGGCGGGTTTTGCGTTTCATCTTGGTAGCGAGTGTACATGAGATACCGATACCACGCTGGTTTGGAGTCTAGCCGATCTTGTTTGGGTACTCTTCTGCAAAAACAACCGTGTCTATACCCCGTTTCGAGATAACCCGTGAACACAAGGCAGGAGCTGTAGAACGAGAGCGTGTAGATGTAGCTGACGGCCACAGCGAGCGTGGCGGTGCGGCAGAAGAGTCGTACGGCGTCCATGTTGGTGAGGGGGGAGGCGGCCAGGCCCAGAGTGAGGAGGTGGATGAGGGTGGAGCCGGAGAAGCGGAGCATGACGTCTTCGAACACGCTGGCCACGCGCTCCTTCACGTGCTGATCCTCTCTGGTCCTTCTCCAAGACGACAACATCTCGAAGGAGCCAAAGAGACCGTGACCTGAGGAGAGAGAGAGGAGGGGGGAGTTATGAGCAGATTTTGACCTTATAATTTCTTAAAAGCTTGGCTCAAATTTCCGCTAATTAAATTTCAAGATGTTTTTGAACTTACTGGAGCACAAACAAATGTCTGGGCTCTTTGTGAAGCTGTTTTGGCCACTCTGCTGTTCTAGCTAATCTATTCAAATTAAAAATAGTGTTGTCTCTAGGATTGGGCATGATTAGTTGACTAATTGATAACTGATCATTAAGAATTTAGTCAGTCATGTTCATTTTTAATCGACAAACCAAATGTAGTTTGCTGTGCATAGTGTAGCTCAAGGAGACGAGGCTGCAAACACTGGAGTTGCAACCTCACAGTCCCACTTTTTGGCTTTGGCACCTCCTTGGAGATCACTGTACCAGTCAGTGAGTGTGTTTACATGCGCATCAGTGTCCCGGGTATGATTGGGTTTTTTGAGTATCCCGGTTTTGTCATGGTGCATGTATACGCAGTATCCCGGTTACTGCAACATAAAGTTGAGTGCACATGCGTCCAAAAAAAAACAAACGCTTTTCAGGCTTTTCATCACAACAGTAGCCAAAATAAATAGTGAGTGAAATGACTGTTAAATAAAGAGCTGCTCTAAACCTGCACACGTCTGATCTCTGAAAACATGAACCATTTCCAACAGTACGTACAGAACAGACTCACCGTAACCATCATCAACATCCCTCTGTCACAGAAAGAACACTCATATTTTACTGAATTGGGTCCTTTAATCTGACAGAAGCTGAACCACATCAGGGCACAAGGAAAGAGATGTTTTTTTTTTTTTCAGCGCTTATAGTTTATGCAAATGAGCCATGCGGTTTTAAGTTTCGTTTCAGTAAAACATAAACAAATTTGTGCAAAGCTGCATTAAACACATTATAATCTGAAATGGGCTGATGTGGCTCTAGAGTGGTTATGGTTTATATGTTGTAAAGTTGAGTTTATTTATGTAGATTAGTAATAGTAATAATAATGATGATAATTTAAATATAAAAACATTGATGATGAATCAAATATCGATCGTTATTTCTTCCGACGATCGATTAAAAAAATTGTATCCCTAATTGACAGGATACTAAAATTTCAAACTCGATTTTGATCGATTAAGAAACAGACTCTTATACTATTGTAGACTAGTGACATTCTGAATTTAGGGTTATAAAAAATACTTGAACATGCATGAATCACACTAAATAGAACTTTAAGAGGGTAAATGAGAGGCGGTAACAACTATAACATAGTAAAAAGCTCTATTTTGCATAATAGGATATTAATTGGAAAGATTATATTCAAATACATGATATTCAATCACTTCACCGTTTTTTAGCATAATGGAGCTATAACATTCACCTACGTTCTCACACATACTGTATATATTTTTGTGTTTTTAAAGTTCTTTTTCCATTTGGTGAAATTGTTTGTCACAAAGTTGAGTTGCAAAACAAAGTTGCAAAAGTACACAGCTCCTAGTGTCCTGTGCTCTGTGGGGTTTTGTTTCAATCTTGTCTAAACTACAGAAGTGTGAAAAGCTGCAGAGGCGTGAGGCAAATACTGATGTGTTTGTGGCTGTTTTGTCCCTGGCTCTTTAAGATTTACTTTCAGTTTAAGCAGAGGGGTGGACCGCTCGATTTTTGAAATGGTTAAAGGGCTTACATTACGCTCTTTTCGATCAATAATGATGTTTCCTCATCACAAACATAAATAGAGTTACTGAAACATGTGAGAATGAAACAAAACACTTCTCCGGGTATGTTTTTGATGAGGCAACAGCATTCAAACATGGTCACAAGAGCCAATGTAGACCATAAAAAAAGAAAAAAAACTAGGCTAAAACACAGACGATGTAAAAAGAAACAAATAAAAATCCTGCTTGTCCAAAAGTCTATGTTGATAAAACACAAAAAAGCGCCATGATCTCACTACATCTCACCAAAATGTGCTGTTAGACATTGATAAACTTACATTTCGTTCTGTTTTTTTGGCCTTTGTCTTATATCAGCGTTGCCATGGTTTCAGTGAGTCACCAGTTGCCCCTGTGACCTGATCTGGAGCCGAAGTCACAGCCCATTACATTTATAGTCCCTAAAGGTCTATTGTGTGCAACTATAAACAAAATAACATTGCGAAATCTAAAATACAGTTTGCTATTTTAATATTAGACCAAATATTGTCCCGTTAATAACAACTCTGACTTTAAATTAATCCCTTCTATAATTCAAATATAAAATTAAAACCTTTCCATTGGTTTCAAAACGATGAAGAATTAGCACTATTTCCATGGCAAGGATTAAAAAAAAAAATTCTGCTTTTTGAATTTTGAAGAGTCCTCAAAATGGTGCCTATAAACAGGAAATTGAACACCATGGAAATACAAAAACACATGCAAACACATTTGTAATATCAAACTCAAATTCAGGTACATTATAGCATTGTTTCCCAAAGACTGGGTCGCAAGAGATTTTTTTTGGTTCGCGATGTCACGATCTGAATGCAGGTCCTCAATATACAGCTCTGCCTGTACGCCTGATCTGCTGCTGAGCTCTCCTCCTGCACCCGGAGTGGAACGTGCTACAAAAACACAACAGGTTCACCTATCTCACTAGAAATGTTAAAATGTTAAGACATGTTTTGTATAATTTCTAATCTTTTTGTAATTATTTTATTGACTATTTTGTTCCAATATTGCTGGTTCAATTGAATGTTGAAAAGAAAAAGAAATGAGTTACATTTAATGTCCAAATAGGCCACTTAGGCTCCACTGTGTTTTAAAACTCCATACATCTTCACTAGAATCATTTGGAAGATTTCAGTCCTGGAAATGCCAATCTCTACTGAACTAAAGGTAAAAGCTCTTAGAAAAACATAAATAAAATGTATTGATCCATGAGCAAAGTTTGTCTAAGGCCTGTTTACACATACATTGTTATTTTTAAAAACTGAGACATTTCCCTTCATTTGTATCCATCTGTTACACACAAACGGTGAATTTGCCTCTGAAAACAAATCTTTCTAAAAACTCCGGCTACAGTGGAGATTCTGGAAAACTACGGTTTGGCGTTTGCATGTGAAGTGAGATAAATGGAGTTTTAGGAGCTGATGCACCAAAAGTGTGATCAGTGTTTCTCTTTTGCTCTGATGATGATGAAGCATTCAGGGCAGCAGTCACATTTCTTCTGGTGCAAACGCTTTTCATGTGTTTGTATTTGCACACACAGCTAATGTTTCATAACCATAACCAGAGAGGCGAGCCCGCTCAGTAATGCACGTTTTTTCAGTGTATTTGTGAGTAATACTTACAACTGTAATAAAATAAATGCTACAGGCTTGAATCTAATCCACCTGCTGCCCAGAGGCTTGGTGTAGTTATGATGATGCTCGATGGTGTATTTATGCGGGCTGATGTAAACGAAATTCTTTTTGAAAATGATGCTGTGTGCACGGTGTTATTTTGGAAAACAGAGGGAGAAAAATATTCGTTTCTCAACATACTCGGCTCTGTGTAAACATAGCCAAAGTTAAACTGAAAACTAGCAGTATATGACATTACAAGCTGGGACAGAGAATTTTGAGCTTTGAAGATGTAGACAGACTACACAAATCACCACTCTCTATGTTTTTGATGAAGTAACAGCATCATAACATGACTAAACGCTCACCAGAAATAATTTTGTGTAATATACTGTATCACCTTTACAAAGTTACATTAGTAAAATAAAAAATTGCCTTGTACTGCAGTGGATGTGCTAATGTGATTTGAAAAACAGTCTCTGCAGATGTCAAACTCTGGGCCACCTCGTTCTTTCGCATTTCATTTGATTTTAACACATCTTCTGTCACTCCTCCCACCTTCATCCCTCTGCCAAATGAAAAAGGGAAAAACTGATCTATCTGTTAAAGCTGTTAACTTCCTTTTCAGATAGTGCAAGTCTCATTTCATCCCTGAAAAGGCTGGAAATCACACAGAGGGTAAAAGTGAATCCTGCTCCATACATGAAGTGTCATTGACCTGAATCCTGGTTAATAATTCTGGAGCTATATTGACAATGAAAGTGCGCTATGTCATTTTTCTGGCTTTTTCTGGAGTGTAGGCCGCCTGATCGTCTCCATGGAGATGTTATCGCTTTGCCTAGACGTCCCACAGTATAACATTCAATTTATTTATCTTTGTTCAATTACAGATGGTTTAATTGTGGAAAAAAAAGAAAGAAACCTACATTCTTACGATCCAACAATCTGATCTTAGGTTAGGTTAGGTTGCTTTATTCGTACCCGTAGGTAAATTTGCTTTGCAGATTTAAGAGACAGGTTCCACATTTCACATTTCATTCATCCACAAAACACACATAAAAACATAATAAAGTGTTACAATAAAGTGTTACAGTGCTCCAGTGCAGAATGGTTTGTTCCATAAACAACCAATTAAAAACATCCAACACGCTTGTCTAAAATCAGATATGTTAAAAACACACAATCTTAGATAAATAGATTACAATTTATTCATAAGTATGATAGCAGCCGGAACGAAGCTCCTCTTAAAACGATTCGTTCTAGATCTTGGGACTAAAACCCTCTGACCAGAGGGAAGCAGCTGAAACTCTGAGTTTAGTGGATGTTGCACGTCTCCCAAAATACTCTGGGACATCATCTGTAAGTGTCTCGAGTACAGAGAGTCCAGGCTGCTCTGAGGATGGCCAATCACCTTACTCGCCCATTTAACCAACTGATTCAGGGAGTTGTTGTGTTTTTAGCAGAAATACTCCCAAACCACGAGACCAATGAAAACGTTAAAACTGATTCCATAAATGTTTTATAAAACAGTGTCATCATGGTTCTGTCTACACGGTAAAAGGACAACTTTCTCAAACAGTGAAGGCGCTGGTGGCCTCTTTTACACACACCAGAACAATTATCGTCAAAACTCAATTTTGAATCAATGAGTGTTCCAAGATATTTATATGAGTCCACAC